TAGGGGCCCACCTGTTTCGGCCCGCCCTCGCAGACTAGTCCCGGACAAGTTCAAAGCTACTAAGGCGGAATTCGAGCAAGTGCTCGAACTGGGAATCAACCGCCCGTCCAAAAGTCCATGGGCATCACCATTGCACATGGTGCCGAAGAAATCCGGTGACTGGCGCCTCTGTGGTGACTACAGGGCATTTAACAAAGTTACCGTTCCGGAAAAGTGCCCCATTCCGCACATGCACGACTTGACCTCAGCTCTAGCTGGTAAGTCTAGCTTTAACAAAATCGACCTAGCTCGCGCCTACCATCAGATACCTGTCGCGCCAGACGATATTGCTAAAACAGCAGTCATCACGCCATTCGGCCTATCCGAGTACCTCAGAATGCCTTTCGGCCTCAGCAACGCTGCCCAAACTTTTCAGCGTTGCATACATGAGGTAGCGCGAGGACTCGAAGGCGTTTATCCTTATCTAGATGACATCCTCATCGCCAGCTCTTCTGATGAGGAACATCTTCAGCACCTCGAAGCTCTCTTTCAACGCTTAACACAGCATGGGGTTACCGTCAACCCCGATAAATGCGAGCTTGGCCAAAGCTCCATCGACATTCTTGGCCACCGCATATCCGCCTCAGGTATCGAAGTTCTGCCAGACAAAATCCAGGCACTGAAGGACCAGCCTACTCCCAGTTCCTTCAAACAGTTACGCCGATTCCTTGGCCTGGTCAACTATTATCGACACTTCATATCTAACTGCGCGAGCATTGTTCATCCAATGACTGACTAGTTCCGCGATAAACAACGGTCTTCTTATTTTGCAGACGCCGCGAGACTGTTTTTTGAGAAGCTCAAAGACGCTATCTCCAACATGGCGCTTCTCACACATCCAGACACATCTGCACCACTCTCCCTGACAACTGCCGCATCCGACACTACCGTGGGTGCAGTTCCTCAACAACTCATCGACCATCGATGGATTCCTCCAGGTTTCTTTTCGAAACGTTTACAACCTGCCGAATCGCGTTACAGCATTTTCGGTAGGGAACTGCTGGCTGTCTACCTAGGTATCCGACATTTCCGTCACTATCTCGAAGGTCGACATTTTACACTCTTCACTGATTACAAGCCATTGATCTACGCAATCAATGGCGCAACGAACAAGTATTCTCCGCGGGAAACTAGACACCTAGACTACGTTGCTCAGTTTACGACAGACGTACGACATGTCTCAGGTGCTCTCAATCCCGTCGCGGATGCGCTTTCACGTATTCAGCAGATCAGCTTATCGCATGGCACCAACACCGACCTAGCCGTCCTGATTGCTGCCCAACAAGCTGATCCTTACCTAGACAAGCTACGACGCAACACCTCGTTGAAACTACGCGAAGTCCCACTAGCTTCAGCTGAGGGGACCATTCTTTGTGACGTCTCACAAACTTCTCCCCGACCAGTAGTTCCTACTTCGATGCGTCGACTAGTTTGCAACGCTCTACACAACTTGTCTCATCCCGGCATACGTGCTTCGCAGGAACTCGTAACTGAACGCTTCGTATGGCCCAACGTCCATCGCGATGTCCGCTTTTGGGCACGCGCATGCTTAGGGTGCCAGCGCGCCAAGGTATACGGACACACCAGAAGCCAACTTGGCGTCTTTCCCGCTCCTGACTCTCGCTTTGCACACGTCCATGTCGACCTGGTCGGACCTTCGCCTCCATGCAAAGGCTACGTGTAACTCCTCACTTGTGTCGACCGATTCACGCGTTGGGCAGAAGCAAATCCGATAGTCCCCTGCTCATCCGAGACAGTTGCGCAAGCATTCCTCGAACGCTGGGTAGCTCAATTCGGTTGCCCAAGCGTAGTCATCACTGACAGAGGATCACATTTTGACGAATCCTTCAGCAAACTGCTCAACGTTCTTGGTTGCCAACATAATCGAACCACCGCATACCACCCTGCAGCTAATGGGATGGTAGAAAGGTTCCACCGGCAACTCAAAGCCCTACTCTGTGCCCAATCTAGCACATCCAAGCACGAAGCACTTCCGCTCGTTCTCTTAAGCACAAGAAACACGATTAAAGCGGATTTGCACGCCACTCCATCGTCACTAGTCTTTGGATGCACACAACGCTTACCTGGTGAACTCGTCTCACCAAAAGCGCCAACAACCTTCGACTATGGCGACTACGCAGCTCGCCTATCTCATCACATGCGACATCTTCAGCCTGTGCAACCCAGAGCACAAAGCTTGCGTATCAACGTGGAGGAACGCTTAACTACTTGCACGCACGTGTTCGTTCGCACTGACAGTGTACGCCGGCCACTTCAACCTCCTTACTCTGGTCCGTACCGTGTCGTACGCAGAAGCGACAAGACGTTTACCGTTGACTACAATGGCAAGACTGAGTCGATCAACGTCAATCGACTCAAGCCAGCATTACTCGACAAGTCTGACTCTTCGGTGCAACAAGCACAAACACAGCCTGCGCCATCACAGTTCACCCCGCAACCTCAGACGAGTCAGTGCGCAGAACCGACAACATCAACCTACAGCACTCCTACTCGCCCTACTATCAATCGACACGGTAGGAAGCTCAAGCCTCCAGTTCGTTTTCGGACGTTGTTAGCACTCACTATTTTACATAGAACGTGTATCTACAATTTTCTGCCTTTACCAAACGTTTTTGAAAACCCACAAAAAGGATCAAAACGTTTTGAAACTACCAAAAAAAGAGCAAAACCTTTTGAAAACCCAAAAACTGCTTTGCATGTTTTTCGTTTTACCCTCTTTTGAGCATTGCTATGCGTATATGCTGCTTTTTTATTTTACTTTCCATATCACCGCCGGTTGGCTGCACCTCGGTTTCACTTTTCCCTGGATCCCCGCACGTCAACTGGAAGTGGAACGAACTTCCTGCTCAACCGCTTACGTGAACTTTACTAACCGTCCCCCACAAACAGTATTTTTACCGTTTCGACACCGTAGGGAAGACACGGGTGTGAGCCCGTTAGGTTCCGATTGCATGGTTCTTCCCCAGCCGCTGCATCAGGTTTCACAACCTGGTCTCGCAGAAGGCTGGCGCGCGACGGACAGTCCTCACGTAGACGGAAGGGCTGCTTACACAGTCCCTTCTAGGAGAGGGCTATGTAGCAGTCTGGCGATTCCCCGGCTTGCCTGTGTAAAATTATGACTAAAATTATTTCATTGTACACCTAGGTAACCGGTGTGGTTTGTGGAATTGATTGCTGAGTTTGAATTCTTGACATGCCCATCGCCATTTTTGCTTGGCGCTCGCTTCGGTTGCAACTCGCGACTGCCCTGTGTGCTGTGCATGCCCCTTTCCCCTAGCTGGAGCGTCCACGGTGTCGTTCCTTTATAGCTAGATAACAGGGAATCTTTACTGTACCAATAAATGTTTCCCTGCAACTCGCTCTGTCTTCTCGAATCGCTTTTGGGCTCCCGGTACAGGCGACAATCACTAAACAGCAAGGTGTCGCCTCATGTCCGTTGCTTTGGCCTATGAGTGTCTGGCAGGAAGCTAATTGGAGATGCTGGTTCATGCCCTGTGGGATCCGTGCCGCGTGGGAGAGCATACGCATTAGCCAACGCAGTGATCGTTGAGGAAACACTTGGTTATGCTTTCTATGATTTTGCAGACCATTTCTTTAGACATATAGGTCACTAGTTCTCGTGGTACTGCCAGTCACGTCCTTTGTAGTTAAGCATTACAATCGCTGCCTTACAAGCGCAAGGTAAGCAATCCTCCGCTAGTGAGAGCCTCAATACTTGGAACAATGGCTTGACGATGTGATCGGCCGACGTCCTGAGAACTAGTAGGTATAATCCATAGAGGCCTGGTGTGCTGTTATGGTTGGAGTCTCGAATTACTAGCATGACCACCTTGACGCTACTTTCAACTTATTACAGCGTTGGGGAGCACATGGGCACACCGTTGTTGGGCAGCGGTGTCAATAAGGAGTAGACAGCTGACTAATGAGAGGTCAGTGGCTTGGATTTCTCGTCAGTACGCTTTACAGCGGCAGATAGTGTAAGCATACCAAAGTCCGTCAGGTATGAGCTCAGACTTTTTGGGTACGTTTTGGATTAAACAGCCAAGCATTGTACGTATTAAGCCCGTTTCTGGCGTTTTCGGAGTTCATAGGTTACTAAAAGTACTTCGATTGCAGTTATGTACTTTGTATACGCTCCACCATTTACGTCGTCTGCTCAGTAAGAACCTTAGCTCCCGTTCGATCCAAGGGCCTTTTGTAGAACGGTCTAACTTTGGACCTCGGGACCCTTCAAGGTTTGATGGTCATCATAATAGAAAGTAGTAGGGAGTGACAATGCGGTAGTTATCACACAATACAACCACATAGTAAGCTTTTACAAAGGTTTTCAAACGTCTCGGTCAAACCAACGCTAGTGAGCATGGGCTTCTAAGTAGAATTCCGTAAATTAGTGACTACCTAGATGATGCGCGCCGCATAATCTTTACGCTTGTGTTGCCTATGTATGCACGTATCTGCCAGAAGCCACATAGTGCATATCTAGCTTAAGGTGGAAAGAAGTTTTTTACTGACGCTACAACATATTGTTTTTCGTAGTCAATAGGTCACAATATCAAGGACGTCTACTTCCTGTGTATCCGAACCGCAGATTTCGAAGTTGGTGATTCCGGAAGGCTGTAGCGGGCCGGACCCGCGAAACATTTAAATGGAGCGCACATCATGGCCTGGCAGAATAGCCTGATGTAAAGACGTTTAGGGTTACTGATTTCTAACACAGAAAGCAGCTCTCACACTATAGACCTGCTACGTTTAAACAAACCTGTGTTATGCATGTTAATTAACGTTAGTATTTTATTAGTTACAAGCACATGCTTATTATTGGTTGTTACCTTATGCTACGAAATAAATATCGTTTAGTACAAAGTGCAAAAAGAATATCCTAATCAAAAAATAAATAATGTTGGTTTCGATTCTTGTTAGCAATATAAGTATAATAAACTCTTATTATGTCTATTATTTGCCACAGAACATTGGCACATAATATCTTGTACAGACCCTACTTAGCTGATGCCCTGTATCTTAATTATATCCTTTCAAATATTCTGTTCTGTATCCTGTTCTATATCCTTTGTTATTCGCAGCTACCTATAGGCACTTCGGGTCTTACCCGCGCCCTTCCGTCGCTGACATGTAACCCTCGCACTCTTCAGTTTCTAATCTTTAGGCCCATATGTTTGAAATTAGTACAAGTGCAGGTGTTTTTCAGACATGGCTCCCGCACACCACTTCACCATGTCAGATCACCGTCTTGTAAAGAGGTACGTTTTACTTGATTTATGCTTTTTTTGTCTAGGCATTTTGGACCCTTGATTTCACTCAAGACTTACCTCACACTATTTATCCCTTTAAACTGATTGATATTTGTTCCAAAGAAACCGTAGAAATCTCGACAGTTGTTAATGTTCCCGTTGCTTTCAAGCTTCCGGTAAAATTGGTTTTCATTTATGAAGATAAATAAAGGGAGGATCCTACACCGGAGAATTAACAAAACAAGGTCAGCAAGAAGCGTTTGAACTCGGCAGACGCCTGAGACAAGATTATTGTGAACACGCTGGTTTTTTGTCACAATCACCCAACCTGTCGAATATATAGTTGGTCATCGGGTTTGTGTTACGCGATTTTAGCTGCAGGTCCACTTACATTCTCCGGACTATCAAATCTCTCAGGTGTTTAGCTGCTGGCCTTTTCGGGACCGACCATACTTCGGCAAAACCTGGTAACTTCCTCGCTCCTCCCTAACCAGTTTTTGTAGCTGAAACTCTCGAAATATATGTCGATCAGCTTGACAGAGAAATCCTTTTTCCAAATCCGTCTATCTCCCCTGGCTTATACCAGCTATCCCAAGAAGGTGCGGAAGAGGCATCTAGCTCTCGGCCTCATCAAGATCTGAAACAGAAGTTGAGGACTAAACTGGGTGTGTCTTGTTTTCTGTGCATGATATTTGTAAGCTATTGAATTCTGTATACCTTGTCCCATGCTTTAAGGCTGATTTGTTAGCCGTTGATCTACCCATGCAACGTCTTCATAAGCTGCCATATTTTCATTTAAATATCTTAACTTTTGCTAGGTTTTTCAACTGCGGCGTGTTGAGGTCACATTCAGCGCACACGCGAGGCATTGTAGGGACCTGGAGATTCCCTCGTATGACTGTGTAAACTATTCTAAAATATATTCAAATTCTAGCTTTCTTATGTATTAAGAAATTAGGCAGTTTGCCTGTTGGGACGTTGTTCAGGTTTGTTTGAAACACAAACACGATTTCCGCCTTTGGCGCGCGCGTATCGACTTCGAACTACGCTCCGTCCATGTTAAATCCATTGCCTTTGGTTGCTCGTCTAGTCTCCTACCGGATATATAACGCAGATCATCGCGCCATAGCTTTTGTGGCCACAACACTCATTGGTTGTGAAACCTCAGTACTTGCAACGGATTTTGCACGATGCGTATTACGTTTACTTGGCTCGACACCTTTTCGACGCCTACTTGACCTACCTACCTACTTGTTAAAAGCACTCGGAAGCTGGGTGAACACTGTGCATCAGGGTCGGGTATTAGAGACTGTTCATTGAGTTTCTTCAAGCATTCATCACTTTCCCACGTTTTCGCCTATCACTGGAGCTACTATCATATAGTATATTTTACCATACATGTAGTTGTATATTGATTTTCATGGAAGTAGTAATGTCCGTCCGATTATGACAAGACTGCTCATTCCGACAGTTCTTCCACAGTGAGGTTCCACAGCGATCGGTCTTTGGCCCACTGTTGTTCTTTACACAAGCTGCCCAAAGTGTTGTTTGCACCTGACGAATTTCCGGTGCTCAGTTACCAAATCCGATGGACCCCATTATTTACGACGTACATTTGATAGACTTTGGGACTGGTCATTTCTGTTTCTGACCAATTAATTATGCCAAGTGTTCTGTCCTACACCTAAACATAATCACTTAGCATGTTATATGATTAGTGGAAATGAGACCTCAGGTTTTCCAACTGGTAGACTGGGGTGGTATTCTGTAACCCGATTACAGGTTAGCTCAGGCCTTCAACAACAACAGTATATCAGCCATTTGAATTGATGCTTCGCTATAGTACAACCATGATGACCTACCGAATAAATAATAATAAGAGGGAGGAAATACCTTAATGCCCTAAGCAAACATTCAGGTTCAAGGCGCCTACACCTTGTGTAGACAACATACCGTCACAAACAGCTGGATATCGTGCAAAGATAAGGCGGCATTGGCGAGACAGCTTCCTTGGAGCTTTCATTGCCACGCGTCATGATCAGCCATTACCCCGCAGATAACCCAGCACCAAACACACTTCAAACAGGCAATCTGACTAGGAGACGGCAGCAGACGCGCCATTGGTGTCGACTGCGAGCCGTGTCCTGTAAAGTCTCGAACCAAACACAAGACGAATCACGTGGACTCCAGTCCGGAAGGCGAGAACGACCGACATCACCCAGTTTGGTCTTCTGTAACTTCATTTCCCTTAGCTAAGTCAACTTGTCCACCTCGAGTCTTGCGCCATCCTACACCTGGCAGACTAAACAAGGCCCTCCTAGGTAAGCGTTGACCAGACATAGGTAGCACGC